TCAACTGAGGTACTTCCCGAATTGCCCTCTCGCTCGGAATAGGCATGAAGTCCAAAGGAGTAACCTTTTAAGTCTAAATAAGGAACGCACACAGTTGGCAGTTCGGTTTGCTGCCGCGTTTGTTTAATTGTGACCTTTAGACCGCTTACCAAAGAGGGGGGGGTACGGCTTTCACATCCATGTTAACACAATTCTAAATTCAGTCAGTTTATACCCGTGTCTGCTCTTTCTCCAATCTCTGATCAGTTTCGCTGACATTCCACAAATAGTACGTCCCGGGCAGCTTACTCACGCATGCTTCTGCATTTATTCCTAGTTAGTTTATGTGCATATGAAAAGAACTTCCCGACTTGCCGTCTGCAGTTGTCCGGAGACGTAGCAGTCCGTCTTATTTCACTCATTTTATTTCCAGCGACCCATCCTCTCGATGTAATCTGTCCATGCAATCGGTCTTGTTTCGTCAGTGACTAATCTCGAAGCTCACACATTCAGGTATGCGATATCGCCATTTGTCACATGTGCGGAGGCAGCACAAACCAGACGGGGTTGCCAGCAAAGACTGAAGTCTCTATTTTTTGGTTTATTAACCGTCATCTGCCATCCAAACTCAATCCTAGGTTTGCAACTCCTAAGGTTCGAACCCGCGTTCTGTTGGCTAACAATGGTAGGTGGACGCTCACCAATCGCGTTAGGGCTCTGGATCGAGCCACAAGGCGCAACAGGACAAACGGATTCCGCAACGCGATTGGTCAGCGCCCTTGATCACAGCCCAAGCCTTTACGCCTCCGAAGTGATTATTAGTCAATAAGCTCCTTGCCAGCAAAAGCTGGCAGTTCGATTATAAGTTAAGTAGTCAAGCTCTCAAGTCATTAGTTTGATTACAGGTTAATAGTAATGGCACGCCGAATGTTAGATAATGACAACTTGCCGGATAGTAGGCCGTCTCGAAATCTTTTGGCCATTATATGCCAGGTCTTGGGGCCTGGGTTAGCGTCAATGGCACACTGAGCATAGGGTGCTTGCATTATTTACCATACTGACAACGCAGCCTCCCTAGCACAAGCTGCGAAGTATACCCATGAACGCGTTGGCGACTTTCTGTCGCAATGCTCTTACTGTGTCAATTTACGGTTCATGTTAGAGGAACGTGTAACAGTCCACCTCAACGCCTTCTCTCCCTTCAGTCCGGCCACTACGTCTGCCACATTAAGCGCTCCGCTCTGTCTAAGGGCGTGCCTGGCGTCGCAGCAGCCTGTGAACCCTCGCCATCGGAGGGTCCGAATGAGTGGGTCATCTTCAACGACGAGAAAGTTGCTCGCAGCGAATGCCCTCCCTTCCAGCATGCCTACCTCTACGTCTTTCGCCGAGTGGATGCCCCGCGCGAGTAGGACTCGACTCTGCCGATGCCCTGGAGGCTGCATCAACGCCTTTCATGTTTGCCCTACCTCCTTTGCTCTGTTCACTGGCCGATTGCATGTTCCTTTCCTCTGATTATCCAAGAAATGTCTATCGGACACAGTCTCTGTTCTCCTTCTGTATTTCCCGCGCATATGCTTTTGCTGCTGGCCCATCCAATGACTTGCATTTGTATTGTGGTAGGGTGAGGACGGCTGTTTTCGTTGGTGGCATTCTTATTCGCATGCCGAGTTTTGTCTCCGCTTAACGAATGTAGTATTGCCATCCGTCAGTATCTTGCCTGTGGCTAGGCAGACTGTCACAACCCTCTTGATAAAAATCTCTCGGCCACTTGTTAGGCCTGGCCGGGCCTAGACCGGCAAATACTTTGGAAAGGCTGGCACAGACTAGTATCGTCCGGTCAATAGTTCAGTTATTCGTCTTCACACATTCGCGGGTATTAGATCGAATTATTAATCTAAATAGTGCCCGTCGGCCGGACCATACCTTTTTATGCACATACGGCGCCTACCACGTGAAGTCATCTAATTGGTAATTCGCACACAGCTCGTCTCCCGTCTGTCAGTGTGAGGTCAGTTTTTGGATTTAAGGAGGCGAGACCTAAGACGTTCTTGGTCACAAACGCCACAAGTCGTTCGTTCTCCACAAAACAGCAATTTTTGTCTTGTTTACGCATTTGCCTATATCCTTGCGTCAACACGTTCTCAGGTGACTATCGAAGATTTAAGTTTTCTGGGTCACTTAGTGACTCGCTGCCAATAATTCTCATGACGGCGCAATATTCTATTAGGGCCATGAAAGCACCGTATGCGCCTCCTAGTCAGTGTGTTTTGGCAACTTTTAACCCTGTTGGGATTAGGTCAGTATATTTTAAGGGTAATAGGCAATGCCTTCAGATACTCCACTCATGCAGACGCTCCAGAGACGGTACAAATCTTGGCCATCGCTAAGGCGAGCTCTGGATAACCAAAGTGTCGTCATGTACTTTTGTAGTCGAAAATCTTGTAGTATGTTTGTTTAATTTTAACAAAAATTCAAAGATGAGTCCTGACCTAGCTTAAAAACGTCTAGTTCTTTCTTTTAAAAGAAGACTTGGTAGTCTTTCTGCCAGCTTTTCCTTACGTGAAGGTTATTTTTGCCAGACTGCCGAGCGTTTTGGCTGTTCTGGGAGTTCACGCTCGAAAACCTTCGTAAATATGAAATTACCGGAAAATTTTGCCGAATACTAGGTTCTTTTGTGCGGTGGCCAGTGTTATTACTGATTTACTGTTTGAGCGCCTAGTGTCAAACTACGAGCTGGATGGGATCAGTGCATCCACCCGTCCGCCGACCTCTCAGTTCCATACCGACTGCTCTACCGTTGCACTACGGCCTACAGTGCAGCTGATTGGTCTAGAAGGGGAGAACCCGTAAGGTCAAGGGAGGTCAGAGCGTCCGTTTCTGGCTCATTAGCCATCGTTTGTCAACCATACCCATACTGCTAACTGGTCTCCCCTTATGTTGCGCTCATAGGGCAGGTCTTTTGTCCTGCGGTCGACGTTTACGCTTGAATTGTAGGCTAGCAGACAGGCCTGACCTGTTGCGTACATTTTAACAATTAGAACATTGCCTGTTGAAGAGTAGATTCTTTGTCAAAACCCCAGGCAACGTCAAGTTTGTCTGCTCTAATTCCAGACCTTCTGCCCTCCTAGTCCCGGTCAGTGATTTTGCTGCCTCTGTCGAGTTACGTACGCCCATTTGCCATTCTCTGTCATTATCTGTGGTCTTGTTGTTGGGCCATTACGGATAATGCCTGACTTGATGTGTCATCTAAAATTCCAGAGGATGAAACAGGAGAATACATGGTCTGCGGCCTGTTTCGGCCTAAAACATGTCAGCCTATTATTACTTCCTAGAACTTCTTTGGTACACATTTTTTTGACAAAACTACCGTCCACAGTAAGCCAATCCACACTGGACGCACTTATCCATTCGAGAGACTTTCGTGGCTATTGAGATCTGCTAGACTTGCATCGTTTTTGCTAACTAAGCGAATTTTTCTGTGTATTCAGTTCTTCGAAGTTGACACAGAGGTCCGTCGAAGATGCGTCCTGGTAACGGCGAATGCCTTCCAATTCGGAAGCGGTAGGCCGGTGCATTGCCACTCTAGTCTCGGAATTCTGTTTTCATCTTTCTGGGACACGGCAAAGTGACGAATAGTTTTCAAGACCATCATTTAGGGCTTTACTCCGTTTCCTTTCATTCTGTGTGATCGCCACGTAGTGACTGAAGTCTGCGTTGGGTGGCTACTGATCGAAGCGGTATTTATGTGGTGCATTTTCTCCCTCCTCAAGGAAAGCCTCCCATGAAATTGTAAAAACGCTAGGCCCCTAGAAAAAGTCCTTGCGTTCTCAGCTTCTCCATGCCTATCAATCATTTTCTGTCGGTGTTGGAAAAATATGGTAAATGACAGGTTGGAGGAAATGGCATCTATGGGTCCTCTGTCCATATCCGCCCTGCCGAATGGAGTTCTATTGCATTAGTGAAGTTGAGGGCTCTATGTCTTCGGCCCTTGGCAGGAAAAATCAAAGTGCTTAGAGCGGGGATCCTAAATCGGACGCATATATCTCGTCTGCCAATGCGCCGTCAGCCGAGGGTGGTGTACATCAGTATGACGTGAAACGAGATTCCAGGCGACGTTTTTGATTTTTAAACGAACCGCGTCCACCTCCGGCCTAATCTGCTCATATTTCACAATTTTTGGCTAAATATAGAGATTCCGTTGCAAGGGTTTGCCCATCCAAAGGTATCCACTGCCAGCGTACTGATGCCTCATTTTCCGTCCGACTCTAGAAATCAACCGATGGTCACCCTGACTTCAGCCATTCCAGAGATGTTTGCTCCATCCGTCGAGGGCCGCGGGACATCGAGCATTCGTCGATGTCGATTGGGAAATCATCCAGACTGTAGGCCACCGTCGCGACCTCACCTCGACTCATTCCAACTCCTCCTGGAAGACGAATGGGGAGTGGGGGGAGGGGAAAGTGTGTTCTGCGCGCTGGGCCAGTTCCAATCGAGCCTGTATAGAGCTAATTGCGTTTAGGGAGCGTATTAACCGTTTAACCGTGGTTGTGCGCAAAGTGAGCACGTCTGCGCGCGATGGCCCCCGCCCAGCGTGGCGGCTTGTTCGGAGCGCAGCCTTCGCGCATAGTGTATTTTTTGTGCGATTCAGTGACCTACCTGTTCATGAATTTTGATGAACGCGGGTGTCGTCTTTTTGCTCTGCTAATCTGAAATTTGGTCCCTCTTGTCGCGAATGCAACTGGTGAAGGGCGTGAGCTGGCATTTGGTGTTGTTAAGACATTCTATCCAGATTTCTGTCCTTTGTATTGATGTTGAGTAAACAGAAAACGAGGAACATTCGATCGCCAAGAAGGCCGAATTTCCATGTGATTCTGTTTGTTTTCAGCCTCTAAAACCCGGCCCTCGCCATTTTGCGTCCACGAGCATCCGGCGTTCCTGCCAACCAGATCCTCAACACATTTTCTTCCTACTTAGGTTTCTTCAGCAGAAATTACCTTTTTCTTCTTTTCCATATAGTCGCAATGGCCGAGAAGCCGGACGATCTCTACCTCCCCAATGCCGTTATCGGGCGCATAATTCGTGAAGCAGTAAGTCTCTTCCTCTCTCGACTGATCTTAACAAGTTTTTGGGTTTCCTAAAGGTTGGCATGTTACGTCAAGAACGGTGTCGCCGGAACCAGAATTAACCGACCTCAAGGTCATCTCGATTCCAGTACACTAATCTGACCCACGTTCCTGAACCTCATTGGTTTTCGCAAATTGGTTGTCAAAGTTCGGTTTGTGGAAGCCGTGCTTGTGAATAGCCGTTCACGTCTTCTGTAGACCAGTTTTACTCATTGGCCCCTCCTTTTTCCGAGCATATTATACCCAAAACAGAAACCGACACTATCAAAACCTGTCGTTCACTGTGCCTAGGTAGGCCCCTTTTACAGGACGGTCGAGCCTCCTTCGGTCGTACCGCGTGATCACTCTACGCATATTTACAATCTCTGTAAATTCATTCGGTTCTATTGTAAAACACCCAACAGCCGCGGTGGGATTCGAACCCACGACAACAAAGCCAGCGCTCAAACCACTTGAGCGACGAGGCCCCACTAGGAGCCAAGAGTTTAATCACATTTAGGTCATTTTATACCTTCCCCCCAGCCCATTGCAGCGTATGGAATCCGCCAATTCTGAAGCAGTCACCTGACTCACCAAGCAAGATTTCCTGAGAAATCAGCATAGAATCCAGACACAGTGTCCAAGTATAGTTCATGGCGCATTCATCTCACACTAAATTAACTTCCCCTTCAGCCTCATCTAGCCTTAACGAACATTTTTGTATCATATAAGATTGTAGTTTAAGTCATAGTCTCCTGTGCTGGGCTTTTTAACCGAAGTAGTAATGGCCGTAGTATTCAACCAATCGCTTAACATTGACGCGGCAGTTTGTGTGCACATTTGTTTCTCGGGATTTCTGTAGTTTTGTGCCTGATTTTGGGAATGCCGGTGTGTTTTGGGGTTTGGATAATTCCCGAGGTAGGATTCCGAAAGCTAATTGGTTAGGATACGTTTGTTTTCGGTAAATTCCTATCAGGTCGACACATTTACATGAGAACGGGGTCAAACTAAACATTTGAATGATAAGAGCATTCGACCAAAGTTTGTCTTCACGCAAGCAAGATATATGGCAAGTGACGAACTGAGGACACATGGTGATGGTCTGAGCTGGCAACCTATCCCTACTTTTGTGTAAAGTGGGGTTGGTCAAGAGTAAAAGCCATTCCTGCCCGGAGGGTTCGTGAAAGAGCTTATTTAAGGCGTCTTCTCAGGAGCCCACTCGCTCCGTCCTCTTGAGTGGGGAGGCTTCGGGGAACAGAGTTTTCGTTTTGGGGCCAATGCAGTGGGTTTTGCCGGTCTTTCGATAACATTCTTCGCAATAAATCCGTCAGGGTGCCCGTTTTTGCGGAGCGGCGTCTAAACTCCTCATCTATGCTGTTCTCGAGCAAATTCCTCCAGTCCTTTGCGCCGATCACCCCGGCTAGATTGTGTTTCTTCTGAAGTCTGTATGTTGTCCAGCGCAAGTTTTCTGGTAAACGCCCGTCTGATTGCTACAGTCGGGTCTTCTGCCGAGAAGGATGTCTAAGTTAACTAACCTGCAATTTCCGCCTCCAACGTAAATTTGATCGATGGATGTGTCTTATGTACAGCTCTTCCTAACCCCCACTTGTATAAGAAGACAAACTTTAACCGTTTTCTTGGCAAAATCTTATTCCTTAGCGGTTAGGGATTGGGGTTAGGGGTTAGGCTGAGGCTTGTCTACATCAGGTATGGCTACGAAATAAGATCCGACTGATTCCTCTTATCACTCACATGTTTCACTTAACTAATTTCTCATATAAGTGTACTGGTTTTACGAGAATTTATCAAAGGCAAAGTATGCTCGCCGACTAGTCTTCCGGAGCGTGTGTGTGTGTGTCAAACTGGGCGATAGTTGCAGTCCGCAGACGTCTATTGAAGTTTGTCTTCTGTGAGCACTGTTCAAGACGTCTGTTTTCGACGGACGCTCCCAGGTTAGTGCCACTATTACCACTGGATTGAAGACCGTTTGAATGCCTTTTTTATTCACCACGCTGCAACAAGTTCTGTGCGGAGTAAACAAACGGATCGGGCGACCCAGGACGCACGCGGTCATCGTGAGACGGCGTGAATCCGACCCCGCCACGGTCATACAGCCTTCCGTCTTCCCTCCACCAAGGCCTTTTCAGCCCATAGAAGTCCTCAGTCTCTAAAAATGGGCTACTGAACGAGTCCGAAAGCCCGGACCAGTACAACTACCATTCCAATAATCCCATGCTCTCCTTCTTTTCAACTAAAATCTGGGCCTCGAATATTCGACCCGCTATTCAAGCAGGAAAACTCTTCCGTGGTTTCAAGACACTAGTTAGAATAGGATACAGCCGAGATGATCAAGAACATGTCAGGGGCAAAGCAAACGCAGGACTCCATTACCAATTTGCGTTTTCGTAACCTAAGCGCAATTATGAACTTTGGTCTGTAACTTAGAGAAGTAACGCGACCATTTGTGGAAACCGACCTGATGGGTCCCTCAAAGCGAACTTCCTTCCTCATCTGGTGCTTGTGACCGCGAACAGACCATCATCTACGAAGCCACAATCCGACAGTTCGACCGTCATGTCCGACGACTTCCATCGTGTGCTCCACAGCAAGCTCGGTGACTTGCACGTTAATTAGTTTATGGGGAGCGTGGACTTGCGAAGCATCCGCCGCACACTCTCCTCCCCACCTGGGCCTGGGTTCGAGACATAGTTAAGAAGGTCGGAGTTGGGAAAGGACACCGGTGATCGGCGTGGCCGGACTCGCACCTAGGCATACCATCACACCCCCTGGTCCACCATAAACACTTGACCAGGATTTTAACCAACATCAATAGGACCACAACGGGTCAGAAAGTCGAGGATGGCTGGGCAACCGTGCTCACCACCTGTGTACCCAGCAGGAGCGCAACCTTTTCTACTGGCAGGGAACCAGGGGCCAAATAACTCCAAGTTTGCCCGTTTTGATTTAAACGTCCTTCTATTTCTCAATTACCGCGGTTACTGTTCCTAAAGAAACAGGGATTTGAACCACTGCCTTTGCAGCGGACATTCCTCATTTCGAGGGCTTGGTTGGTCCGCACGAGGATCAAAATCAACCCCGTTTTTCGTCTCATAACCCTACAGTAAATCTCTGGTAATGGTACTTTTTCGCGACAACAACGATTACTATGATGGTCGGGGACGCTCACCGATCGTTCATACGAAACTCAGTCGTTCCGTTGTGCTTTACGGGCTCTGTCTCTCTCTCTTGAGCCCAACCAGCAGCCGCACAGCGGCGCATGATATAGGTAGTATAGTATTACCGACAATGACAAGGGGGATTGGGATGGCCATTTATGGCTTATTTGCCGTCGTCAGCCAGTCATACCCAATCCCCAAGTGTGGAACACCCGAGGCTCGAACTCGCGACCTGGTAGTTAGAAGTCCACGTCTCTAACCACTGGACCACGAGCCCGTTGCCCTACCGACGACGGCTAATAAACCAGAAACGGCCATTCCAGTCTCCCCTGTCTTTCTCGGTAATAAGGTCTTGCCTATATCATGCGCTGCTGTGCGGCCGCTTGTTGGGCTCGAGAGAGAGAGCCCGTAATGCACAGCGAAACGAATGAGTTCCGTAAGAACGATCGGTGAGCGTCCCCTACCATTGTATATTCCCGATCGAAACCGACAGGGCAACGGGCTCGTTGCCCAGTGGTTACAGGCGTAGACTTCTTACCAACAGGTCGCGAGTTCGAGTCCCAGGTGTTCCACACCTCGGGGTTGGGTATGACTGACTGACGACGGCTAATAAGTCAGAGATGGCCATTCCAGTCTCCCTTGTCTTTGTCGGTAATACAACGATTACGCCCAATGAATGCGCGCCTATTCGCACACACCTTTTAGTTGCCAGAGAAGACGGTTGTCAGTCGTGAGGCCCGCTCCGCCATCAGCAAGGCAGCCAGCTCCTTCATCCTCTGCGTCACCTCGATGGCGAGCGCACACTGCGAGGCCGGCAAGCGCAAGACCCTGGCTGCATCCGACATCCTGGGAGCCCTTCGTGACATGCAGTTTTCCTCCTACGAATCTCCCCTCCTGGAATTCCTCGAAAGTAAGGCATCAGTGCGGCGTCTGCGTCTCTGATGGGTCAGAGTCTTTTGCCAGTTTCTTGCTTGCACATTTTTACGACCACTGGGACACACACACAAACAGTTACAGAAAGATAGAGGGGAAGCATACGCAGTTGGAACCGCCAACTCCGTCCCAGATGCTCCACCTCTGAACTATGGTGGTCACATCTCCTGGTGTGCAGATTCCATAGTTCTTGACTCGCCAGGCGAGCCGTCTTTCAGTGTGCAACATGGGCACGCTAAATATGACCTGTCTTACGGCCTTGGCGCCTGCGTGCGCAAATGTGAACTCGCGGTTGGGCGTCTTCCCTCCCCAATATGGATAATATGTCAGATTATGGAGAACTGGGGGAAGGCCTTTTAGAACTACGCACAAATCGCGTTCTTGAAATACGGTTTGGAACAATATTGGCGTTCGGCAATGAATATGTTCCCAAGACTTTATGAAAAGTCACTAACTGTGCTCATCTCATTTTCGAGGACATACTTGTGCGAGTCTGGATTTAATGGCATTTAGTCAATCAAAACCTAGTTCAGAAATCGTTCGGATGCACAAGCTGACATTTAAATTGCTATTAGCAACAAAGTGTCACGATTTGACAAACTGTTATCCGATAGACAGGAACAAAAGAGTCATCATTTTTTAGTTTATTAATAAAATTCGATCACACAACTTTGTTTTCGTTTTTAGAAACTGGTGTTGGGGGATGTGATGACATATTCGAAAGTTTTTCAGGGGATCAAGACATGGAAAAGATTAGGGACCCGTGGTCTAGAGCCGTGTTTTTTACTTCCTAACTATCCCCATTTCAATACCTGCGATACTAGCGCCCATCCTCCAGCATATGTTTGACTTTCGTCAGACGTATTCCAATTAAGCGCATCCGACATTTTTGCGTGGTAGCTGCTTTCTATGGGTATTGTTGCAATCGCAGCTTTTTAGGGCCTTCAGCGCATTCAGTCAGTGGCCTTCTTGGGTGACAAAAGGGATCAGCAGAAACGAATCAAGAAGGATAGCATCAAATTTCTCTTGCCTGTTTTCCATGTCTTCACTGGTCATTCCTAAGCGGAGTTGTGGGCCCTATCATGCTGTGCAAGCTTCGGAAGATGGTTTCAGCAAGGTTCCACCGTTTACCACTTTTCTGTTTGTAAGCATTACTTACCTGCAGTTTTCGGAATGCTCTTGTAGACTATCGAACTGCGATGAATGCAAAAAAGGCCTTAAAGAAGAATCAGACGCAGAACGAGACTTCTTCTGTCAACGCCCAGCAGGCATCCGAGGTCATCAGCCTTGACAATGTAGACGAAGCCGAGACGAGTAGACCTGCCGAGGAGGAGAACTCCAAAACTGTCGATCAGCCGGGGACCTCCTGAACGTCCTCTCTGCCTGGGCAGTCGCATTTGTTTCGTAAGCGTTCCCCCGTCCCACCCGGCCTTCTTTTTTCTGTGGCCGCCGAGATTTCTACGTACACTCGAGCATTTTATAAACCTATTTTAATCAATAAAATCTGCCAGATCACCGATTTTTCAGAGTACCATTCCGACTTTGTTCCATGATATCGCTTTGAGACGGTGAATTCTGGGTTATGCCGCCAGACGCTGGCAATCACTCTCCAGATCTTCGTCGTTTGTCGTTGCAGCCGGCTGTCCTGAGCTGGCTTGCTAGTGGATCCGACGTGCATGAAGTACTGCCTACTTGCACGGCCGTATTTGCGAGCATTCTGTGTCACTAGAAGAAGATGCGATCACTGGAACAAGAGGTGTATTGACCTGACGTTTCGGATTCTCACTCGAACCCATAATCAGAGTCAATCGCGGATAAGGGTAGTGAAGGCACAAAGACTTCAGTATTTATAGCACGTAGCTGCCGTGGGATCGCATACGCACTACAATTAAGAGCTCTCGAGATCACCGCTGCTGGGGGGTCGTAATTGATGGGATAATAGCCCGTCAGTCCGCGTCCGAGTCGTTAATTGCCACAATTTCGTCATCCGCGTTGGATGTTGGCGTGATACTAACTCGGCGGCTTGCCTGCCGTCGTTGGGATTGTTGCTCGCCCCTAACATTCCCATGTGACTGACACCCATGCCCAGAAAATGTCTTGGCACCGAATATGGCAATAGGAGGTCATTCTGCTTGTTGGTTTATTACGGGTCCGAGAACTATGATCCGAGCAGTTCGCAGCTCACGCGGCTGTCACTTCTGGCGAGATTGTTGGCCTCTTGGAACTTGAAAATATGACCGGGTCCCGTGGAATGAGCCGCCACCTGAGAGCTGGCGTCTATCCTCACCTTCGCTGCGTGCTCGGCCATCCGCGTCTGGAGCGATCTCCCAGTCTCTCCATCGTAGTTGCTCTGTCCGCAACTGCACCAAATCCGGTAAACGACTCCAGACGTTTCCTGCCGGGACAGCGGGTCTGTCGGCCTAATGATCTGGTGCCTGATGGTTGCTTCCGGCCTGTGTGTAACCCCAACTCCAAGTGGAGTGAGAAGGCGGCTGGCGGCTTCTTATACGTCCACGTATGGAAGAGCTCGTCAAAATTTGGGTCCGCTTGGATTCGGTCTTTGGTTTCGTTTGCGTACGCACTCGTTTACAAAGTTACGCGAGTATACATTGACTCTTAGTACCCCTCAGCAACCTTGTCTTCTGTTTCACTGCAATGCGTTTCAACGCACCGGTATAGCGATCTTACGCAACTGCGTTTGTGACCGATCGGGTGGTTATTGTTGAAGTGCAGTATTTCCGTCATACTTGTCGCTTTCCTGAGCACTCTCATTTTTAGGCCACAACAATCTCTGCGGCAAATGAGAACACCCAGAGGGGCCAGTTGGTTCTTTTCTTCTGTCTCACCTCCCGTTTTGATCTGCCGCGCCAAAAGTCTTATATGAAGTGTTGCCATTTGACGGGTTAACAAAGTCCACCTCCGGACTACGTGGTCTTTATTGCGCTCTCGCTTAGGCGTGGCCCCGACGCCGTCCTAGTTCGGTGTCGCAGGCACGTGTGTTGCACGTGAAGGTCAGGTCCGGCAGCATCAGTTGTTGCACACACGCGCCTCCGTCACTGGGACGTGTTGGGTGTGGGGGTGGAGACGGCGAGGTAGGTGCAGCGCAAGTCTGCTTCACTTTAAGCATATTTGGCTCGAAAGAGGTCACTCCGTCCCCCCCTTGGAACATCAGTGGTATTTGCCGCTGAGAAGAACGGACGTGTTACTATATTTGGCCATAAACTTATTAAATGAACGCGATGGGATCGTTGCAGACTACAAAGCGGTGCCAGACCGTTGGTCAACAGTGTAGTTATGGTTACTCAGCCGCCTAGGTGTCGTTTACGCCTGCCAATAACTTGTGCATACAGGACAACATTTACACCGCAAGATATTGCCCGGCTGCCGAACCGCCCAAGTCGTTTCTCATAGTCCATACCTCTCTCTCTCTCTCTCTCTCTCTCTCTCTCTCTCTCTCTCGTGACGATGCCTTTAAGCGCCACAAAACGTGGGCAGGTTTTAAAGCTCGACCCTCCTTACCAGGATTACCTTCTAAATTATGGGTACGATTCCGCAACTCGAGATGATACGTCCCCTCAAATTATCGGCACTCGCTAGGACCAAGCGGATACTTTCAGCTCTCTTAGCAGATTGCAGTGGACCAGTGGAGTCAACCCCCCAGCGAGCACAGACGATCCAGGGATCCTGTTTTTCGTCCCCGTTTTTTTTTACAATCGAAACCTCCCAGGAGAACAAGGTTTGCCGATGAACCAACCTCTTGCCTCACAAGTCTCTCTGACTGATAGTCTATATGGCAGCGCACTTTTACAAACTTGTATAACAGGGACGCGGCCGCGAAGTCGCTACGCCTCGCAGATTATTCTCAGTGCCCCTATGGTCAAACCTACGCAGGCAACACAAACTAACTAGGACAATCAGTCAGCGTCGGGTATTATTTTCTGATTCCTGTCCGCGTGTGATACCGTCTAGTTGTGTTGTGCGCATTAGCCTAACCAATGTTTTCATAGTCTTTCCGGTCTCTGGTCCTTGCAATTTGCTTTTTGTGGACCCTCCTCGACATCTGCTTTCCCAGAAGCTGCGAACATCACTCGAGTACTTTAAAAGGCCTAGTCAATCCAGGGAAGGATACCTGGATTGTTTGATATTCTCCGAAGATTTGTGCACAATGCAAAGCGAAGCAAGTAGACGTGAAGTTAATTAAGAAGGAAAATTATAGAGCACAGCAGCATGTCCGGGGTCCTAGAGAAGGCTGTAGTTTCCATTGCGCGGATAGGAGTACAGGTGGACGCGTTCCTGACGATCCATGCGCATATAGAGGCCGAAACGGAAACCATATGCTATGGCTGGATGGCTGCCGGCCGCCTCCTCGCTGAAGTCCGGATCGTGCAGGTGCCAAATCCCAGGGCTTGGCGTCCTGACCCGCCTCTGTTGCTGAAAAGGCAAAATGCCATTCTGCATTCGGAAAATAGGACTCATTTGCTACTGGGAGAACTTCATTCCAAAAACGTCATCCTAGTGTCAGCAATTGCTGCTGCCGCAGTACCGGTCTCATCTTAATTACACTGGTGATCTAACAGATGAAATGTGCCGAAATTAGATAAGTCATCTTATTTACTTTCACAGATGTAGAATGTCAAGTCCACGCTTTACTGGCCCTATCGACAAAGCAAGCCTACAGCACGTAGTGACGATAAAGTCATCCCAAGAAATATGATCGCCTAAGTTTTACATTCTCCCAACCATTCTGTTTACCACGGGGTGGTCATCCCGGGCGCAAGACTTTGTGTCCCTCCCGAGAGGATATCGAAAGTTACTTTCTTTTTCCAGACGCCTATCGTTTATCGTTCGCGTGAAATGCTTTATCAGTGGGTCTGGGACAGTGCGTATTTCGCACACCGAATCACGTCTGGGCCTTAACGTCAATGAACTGCAAGTGCTTGTTTAGTGCAAGAATACTCATCCATACCTCAAGGCACATTTTCACCACGGACAGTAACACTTTCCTCAGTATTCGCAGGTAATCCTTCTTACCCACATTCGGATTTGTTTAATTAAATGTGTCAGAAGCAAAAAGGTCACTAGCACACCAGGGACAGTTCACTCTCCCTTATTTGATTTCGGAGGAAATCAATGCGCCAACTTGGAGAAAATCGTTCGGAGCAGACCTTTTCTGGCACAGTCAGAAATTCGATATGAATAACCGCTTAATATTCACAAACCGCCGATAGGCAGCCAGTAGTATAGAGTTGTGCAATTATTTACCGTACTAACGAACACGTATTAACTAAAAGCCCAGACACGCGTGTTTCGCCGATCTTGTGCCGCTGTCTGACTCAGCTGTTAGGGTTTCGGCTCATCAGTGGGTCCCCCAGCTTTCCCCGCGTGTCTTCGGTATATGAACTCCAGTTTCATCTTGCCATGGTGGATTTCAGCTCAAATATTCATATCAAATTTTGGACCGTGCCTGAAAAGGTATGTTCCGAAAGATTTACCTTAAGTTGGCGCATTAATTTCCGACACGATTATTTCGGTTTGGTGTTTCATCTTACAAGGCTGGGTCGTCTGTTTTAGACGGTCTAACGCGTTATCTACAATGACCTCGGCTCAGAGAGTTGAGCAGCGACCTTTGTATACACTTATTGTTTATTTTTTAATTGTTCTGTTTAATTTCGGTTGCTGTATGTCAATTCATTAAAATTTTCCTGTTTGAAAATGAATTCACCAATTCTTATTTACCCAACTGTGAAAAACCCGGCGCCTCAGTGGGATTCGAACCCACGCAGTAAGGGGAATGCTTTACTACAGCCAACGCTCTAACCACCTGAGCTACGAGACCCCGCGGGACGACGCGAGTTTTATCACATTTGAATTGACCAATTATCTATACTTATTCTGCCATTCATTTCTGCACACATAGGCCCTGTCCGTAAATCCCCTATTACCACCTTTCCCGTAGGACAGCTGTCCTACACCGTTTATTAGTGAAATATTAGTTATTGGTATTTATTGTGGCTTTGGTAAGTCCTCAGATGTGCAGTCGTTCTGCGAACCGTTGACTACAGAGTTTTTTTTATCTCTGGGCAGGTTTGGTCTACGTATCGATGATACCGACCGAACACTACACTTCAAACTAGGCGCTGTAATTTGTGATGCCCCAGCTATGGCCTTCATAAAGCTGGATCATGGGAAATTTGGTTCATACGGCAAAGACCATAGAAGATATGAAGGTTAAACTTGATATCCTTTATGAAAGCCGCCAGGGACATGGGTGTTGGTGCGGCTCAACACCCACTCCAGCACCCCACGGGCCTGTGATCCAGCGCATAGCTACCATTGAGGAGCTGGATCAATTTAAAAACGCTATAGCGGACCCGAAGTTCAGACAGCAAACGGTAAATATGCCCTGTAATTCAACATTTCTTACTAGATTTCCTACCTCACGGCTAACTGAGGTGATACTCTTTCCGCCTTCGCGGATAGGACTTTCGGTATCCTGTTTGATGACAGGATTACCCTACATCTGACATTTTACGGGCGGCCCCAGGGGAAGAGGGCCTTCTTTGGATCCAAACTGTACGGTTTGGTTGTGGGCACATCATTCAATTTCCTTATATGTCATGTAACAACATGAATGCTTTCACAGTGTGGAACGCTGCGCGCAAATGCGACCAGCAGCAACTAGAGAAGACGTTCCGAACAGCCTTTAGGAAGGCTTACGATAGATTGCACAAACGAGGTTATAGGCTATGGACCTCACAATGTCCGGACGGTTAGTGATGTCTTTATAACGCTTTATCCCTTAATTCGTGTACCACTATTCTGCTGGCTTTCAATGTTTGATTTGACGCTGCAATTAATATCGTCTTCTTTGAGTTCAGAGGATGAAAGAAACCAATCATCCCCGGGCGGTCGGTCCGTCTACGTGGCCCTAAATTGGACCACTTGTATATATTGCATTTATCCCCGTATTTTTTGTACAGCATTTTAACCGTTTGTATTTTGCCTTTTTAGAGATAAATACCACTAATACCTTTTTTAAATAAAAAACTATTTTTAAAAAAACCAAGACTTCCTTATGTTGTGCTTAAGGGAAACCAATATCGGGGTGATGGAGGGGGACAAACGGATGGGGGTGGGGTATGGGTTATTTGCAAATGAAGGGGGGTCTGTCCTGTTAAAAAACGAATGTAGATTTGTCTGCGCAGATTCTAAGCAGATTAGGTGGGAAAACGTCTACGCAGATTCTGCGCAGATTTGTCTAACCGTCTGCGCAGATTCTGGACAGAATTGTTATTATGGGAGGCACCTTTGGCTGGTCGTGTGTATTTGAGGTCCTTCACCCGATCGTTTCCAATTTCGTTTGGAGTAATGCTGTTTGTGGTTTTAATGCCTATTCTGCCAGGGCATCTTTTTGCCAGGTAGTGGAAGTATGATTAGCTGACAGAGGGAGCGCACTTAAAGACTGCATTATAGAGCATTTTGAATGGAAGATAATGACTGCGATGACAGCTATTGCAGACTGATATCCGTCCTTTCGAAGTGGCCATACGTCTGGCCAAAACCGTTGACCAAAAATCTCAGCAAGTTCAACCGCGCTATCGCTCATCCACATCTCTGTGTAGGCGTTCATCAGTTTTCTACCGGTTTTTGACGAGGCAACTTGGATACTTATTTGCACATGAGTGGATGCATTCTCATCTATTTGGACTACCGAAACAGAAGAGGGCAGGAAACGGGAATAGGTATCCCCCATTATTACAAAGCTGTTGGGGCTAAAGTTAGGGGTAGGGTTAAGGTTAAGGTGAGGGCATCAAGGCCACCAGGCAATGGTACCATATGTAGCCCCACTCACTAAACAAGAAACAAGGGCGCTTGTAGTATGGGAATGCTGATAATAGGAGGTTTGATGGGTGGACATAAAGGAGGCCGTGGACGGCACACTGCGCGAAGAAGGAATGTCAAAGACTGCACTTGTGCCATTACCTTGTTTCAGTTCACCAACGGCCTGTGTAAACCCGAGTGCGTAATTTGAAAAGTATGGTCAGATGCTGTTATGTAGCCCCATCTCAAGGAAGCAAACCCCAGTCGCCTGTGATACTGGACCGGTGGTAATAAGGGTTTTCACAGGTGGGGCCGCTGAACGCACAAGCAACGCGGTCAAGTAGTTGCATGCAAAAGAGAAGCTATTGGGAATTCGCGGTTGTACTTTGAGTGATTTAGAAATAGTTGCTCTAACCCCTGACGCCTAACCCTAGTCCCTAACTCTAACCCCTAACCCTATGCCCTAACGCTAACTCCCTCCCCAACAGTATTTTGTCCACCAGGTGGGACTAAATAACCACATCTTGCCGGTTTACTCGTAAACCGAAGATGAAATAGGTGAAAGCGGACCCTGGCGGTAGATGGGAATGCTGGCGGAATATGTTTGTAGCCTGGGAAGATGGCCTACCTTCCAGCATGGATGCCATTCTCAAAACAACACCGAGCAGCGTTCGTACCGACGGGAATTATCGTTTCTGGTTGACCTGTCGACAGTCACCCATCCGTAACTCCGAGGAAAAGAAGACCTGGAATGAAAATCCGCATCCTGGTCCCTTAAAACTATCACTACCAATGATTCATCCTTAGAAATCAAGGAGGTCCACCACTGCTTGGCAGGGCGGCGGTGACTTGTGCGTGAAACGGTTCAAACTGTGAAAGGACATTAGAGATATCATTGTAATCTTCTCCAAAATCAACCGTCTTTCGATGAGAGTTGATCAGCAGGTCAACTCACCAAATACTGGCTTGAGTGCAGTGGAGAAGATGGATCAGTGCTGTGTCCATCAGATGGGGGATACATAACCACACCTTACCAAAAATATAAATAAAATGAGTTGCCTAGTAAGCCCAAGTTCAGGCGAACGAGGCGTGTACAGCGCATCTCTCGCTGGGCCTGTCCTCAAGATAGAGTCAAGAGGCCTGCAGACGCGGTCAGGTGCAGGTGGTTTGTGCGGCGCAGATCTCAGCCTGGGCGCGCCAACACACGTCCCGATTGTTATGGCTGTGTAACCCAACGATAAGCGCCAGTGCCTGACTTAGTCACGTGCAGGTCCAGTGCACCCCCTGTGTGGCCGTCGTAGGGAGCACATTTATTATAATCACAGTCAACGTCATAGTGTAAAGGACAGATATTTTTAGTCAGGTTTGTTTTATTTCCTTTGTTAACGTTCTCCTGAGCGACATTCCTCCTCCTTTGAAGAGGAGGGCTCGTGCAGATCTTCTGGTTTCCCTGCTCCATTGTCTTCCTCCTTTATTCCTTTGAACCACAAACCGCGATTCATCCCACTCCGAATTCCCGATTTAATAAACGTTCCGTTGTTGACAGTTCATTTCTGATATTGTCTGTTGAAACCCGTGATCGGACGTACAAGACCTCCCCCTGCAAGGAAGAGTCGTAATGAATATGTCTACCATGACCTCTACAGACGAACAGTTCCAACCGCCTTCCAAAGGCCTCAACACAGACGAAACTAAGCCATCAGGTAACTCGAGTATTACAGCAGCACGCCTATCCGGAGTCCGAGTCCCTCAATCGGGTCTAAACGAGACATACGGAAGTAACTGTCACCAATTCCTTGGAGGGGGCGAATGAGTTATTGCATGTCCCGCAGCTCCTACGTTAGTTACCCTGGCGTGCCTTAGTTGTAGCAGTGCATTTTAGTCTCTGCATGCAGTGCATGCATCTTGGGCACCGTCGACTTACCTTCGGCTCAACTGGTGCTTTCACCTCAATTTTCACTTTCACTGGCGGCTTCTCCTTCCTTGAAAGACCTGTAAGGAAGACATTGGGTAGGTAACATCAGATCGATTGACTAGTGAGCAGACAAATATGGTTATTCATTGCTATGAATGACGGCGGCCATAAATGCCACACGACGACAAAACGGTCTGTAATGTAGCAAATATACACGAAATCCTCTTTACTTGAATTTTCCTACCTTCACCGCGTTCTGATGGCAAGACGAAGTCAAGATCGCCGGGAGTGATCGTGGATGCAGTCGCTAACAAAGCTAGACAACCCGCTACCACATGACCTGGCTTCTAACACCACATGAACCAGCCTTCAAAGAGAAGTCCAGATCCCAATTGTGTACGTGCGCGTAAAGACCACAATTAGAAGAAGCCATTAAAGCCCCATCATCAGTTTAGGGGAGCACCACTGTATCCAGTCGGTTTGTTATCCTTCCAATATGACCATGCCCCTTGCTAATCTGCGGCACTTATCTGTGATCTGCGACTGCCAGAGGTAGAACTGGCCCTGTCTGTGCCAACAGCAGACAGGATTCCGAGAGAGATGACTTACCATGTTTCGCCTTAAGTCCCAGAATAACACCCTGTTTCTGCGGCGAGGCAGTCATTTCTGCCTAGTCCGCCTCCAACTCCTTCCCCCGAGACCCCTAACTGTCAACCCTCTCTTCCTATCACATGTTTCAGAAAATAGTCTCCTCGCCAACACTGATTCTTCCATGCACCGCCACCTTTTCTGGCGTTACAGACAACTGAAAAGGTATACCACATGACAGTTAAGAAAAGTCAAATAGTTCATCCTCCGACGTACTCTTACTTTTAGTCGGCTGGCATTCCTTTCTGTGACGATTCGTCCAACCCTTAAATTTGCACGCGGTGGAACAGTAGAAGACCTTGTTGCATCGAGTGCAGGGAACCAGTTTTACACTGGCCGATCGACCGCACTCATAGCAATACCGGTAGAGCATGTTGCTTTGATAAAAGAGAAAAGATACATATTTTGATCATCTGCACACTTTACGCGCACATATATATGCAGAAACAGATAGCCAACCAAGCCGGGGGAAACTGGCAATGGCAATTCTGCTCTATTGGCAGTCGTCAGTCAGCCATACCCAGCTCGGAGGTGTGCAACTCTCGAGCCTCCAACCCGTGGCTACAGGTTAAGTGTCCTGAAGTTCCAAGATCAAATACGCTTCCATCGTCGGAAGTAGGTTTTGTACGGCGCGTCACAGTATTTCTGAGTGCTGAACATGCTGGTGTGCTCGTGCTCCTAACGCTATACGTGCAGGATGCACTGCTGGGATGGGGAGTGAGAGAGAGTTGATTGCCATCTCGCTGGTCGGTGTGAAATTCTCCAGGCTCGAATCCCTAGACCGTTGGCTAAAATCCAACCCCCCGAAAACACAGGCGGAAAAGTGAGTTCCGTGATCAATCGGCCTCATCGAACTTGAATGTGTGGCCCGGTCTCGTCGAATGGGTCGCGACCTGAGAGTTGGCGTCATTTCTCCGCACCGCTGCAGCGTGTTCGGCCATTCGTGTTCGGAGCTTTTTCCGGATTCTCCGACGTAATTGCTCTGTCCGCAACTGTACTAGATCCCGTAAACGACTCCAGATGTTTCTTGTCGTGGCAGTGGGTCTTACGGTCTCATCAGCTGACGC